GGTTTCAGGTGGTTCCAACCGGTGGCCTTCGCTTGATTCCTGAAGCCGAAACCAAAGCCCACACATTTGGCTTGCTTCGGCCTCGAAGTCTACGTCCTCAGGTTCAAGTTCAAATCAAGCCAAGCCGCACACACACAGTTCACAGAATGAGACCTCGGATCTGCTCTCCGCATCACCTCGCTGTCAGCTCCTGACAGTGACAGTAAGTTAGGGATCCTCACCGTACTGTATACGGTTAAGACCGTAACGATTACGGTCAATACGGGTCCTAACCGGCCGTAACCGTAACCGTAAAAATTTCTCCTGGACTCCCTTACGGTACGGCACTCTTTACGGGTATTACGACCGTAAAGATCAATAAAAAATCGAATTCAAGATACAATTGCAAGCCGTCCTTTCGCTGCATTCTGGCACAGATGGCCTTGTGGATCCGAGTCTTGAATGAAGCATCAATGTGCAGATGGTCTTGGAAATCAATGTACATTCGCATCCCTTTCAAAATACGCGACGTAGTTGAACCAAGAAACAGTGATGACTTGCCTTCATCGTCGAGATTGTTTGACAACCTTCGTAGTCAAACACGCTGGACGAGTCGGAGATGGCTTGTTGATGGCTTGTTTCAACCCCTGGGATGAATCATGATGCTGCGCTAGTCCATTCACTGGAATGATACCTATGGACGGTGTTTACTGCTGGTACGAGCTTGTGAAGAATGCATACGTTATTTGCGATTTGGGCGGACAGTGACAGTGGTTTTGACGCGCTGTGAAGTCGAGGATGGGCGGAGGAATCATTTGGAGGATGTGTCATCATTTAATTTTGGCGCGGACTTGGCGTGAGCCAACATCGCGCCGTATCTAGTAGAATTACGGCCGTAAAATACCGTATACGGCCTGCATTCTTACGGATCTATACGGGATATTGAGGTACGTGAGGGGCCTATACGGGACGGTTACGGGTGTGCATAATCGTATTACGGTATTATACGGTTACGGTGGGGATCCCTACAGCAAGTGAGGCTATGTAACTCTCTTCTCGCTACCGTCCTCTTTGTCCCTCCTTGCGTGCGGGTGTATGAAGCTCAGTCTAAAGAATTTCAAACTCATCCGGGTGCTGCGCGCGACTCGGTGTCTCCAGCGGGAAGAATCGTCCGTTGTTCCGACATTACCTCCAGAATCGTCCGCCGTTCCGACACTACCTCCAGAATCGTCCGCCGTTCCGACACTACCTCCAGAATTGTCCGCCGTTCTGACAGTACCTCCAGAATCATCCCCTCCAGAATCGTCCGCCGTTCTGGCACTACCTCCAGAATCGTCCGCCGTTCCGACACTACCTCCAGAGTCGTCCGCCGTGCCTCAGCTACCGCCAGAACTGGAGCGAGAGATATTCGAGCTGTGTGCCCTCATGCACCCGGAATATATTCTACGCTTCATGCGCGTATCACATCGCACCAAGAAATGGTACAGTTCTGGTCTTCGCCAAGTTTTCATCTCACCTTGTCTGTTCAGGTTGGAACCATTATTGTATCGCACACTCACCTTGGGTACCCGCACCAGCTATCCCTTCTGCGGTCCCCCCACAGACAGCTTTCTCCACGCCATCCGTTCCGGCCTCATTTTCGACGGACTTGTTCAGAACATATTCCTCCATTATGAGTGTTCGTTGTCCGAAGACGACTTGCGCACTATCCTCTCCATCTGCGGCCGTCCGTTAAATCTTTTCCTGGACCAAGGCTCGTTGCCAGATGCGAGCTTCGCTGTTCCCCTCATCGCCACCCTCAACATCAAATTTCTCACAGTCGGCCTTCACTCGCTGAAAGGCATGCCTTTCAGTGGCCCATTATTTGCGAATCTCACGCATTTAACGGCATTCGCAATCTGGGGGACTGTGGAGGACTGGTTGCCAGTCTCTCAAATCCCCAACCTGACGCACTTGTGCTTCATCCACTGGCGACTCCTTGACATTTGCCCGCAGATTTTGCAGACATGTACGAAATTGCGCGTATTGGTGGTTCAGTGCGACTGGGATCACAGCAAAAGGCCATTCGACAGTGCACTTCAACGTGATCCACGCTTTGTGGTGATCCCGAGATCGTATTTGCATATTGTGGATTGGCACCGAGGGATTTCCAGCGGGAGGGATCACTGGACGATTGCGGATGAATTCATCGCCAAACGGAACGCTGGGCAAGTTGACCGTACGTACAGTCTTTGGGGCTTACGTGGAACATTGATTCACGATTTGTCCCAGTCTCGACCTACGTCGCGGAGTAATCTCCTCTCTCGATGTCCAGATGGAGTCTGGCAGACTGAACACTTGTCTCTGTTGTATTTCCTGTTGCAAGCGATATATTTCCACATTTTCCGAAAAACCAATGTTTTCCTACGCGATTCAATCCCCAGAAAATCAAATTGCGATATTTCACCGGTTATTTGAATCATGAAAAAATTCAAGCAGAACTCTTTGGGGGCTCTCGCAGTGCCAAAGCCTAGGTGTCCACATTCAATTCCAATATAGATCAAACTCCAAAATGTAGTCGAAGCGGCCAAATTGATGACTTTTTTGTTTGAATCACAGCCCCTTCGCTTTAGACTTGAGCAGTAGAATGATTCTAGACGGTCCGTTCAACCCAGAATATAGGCCAATTGTTCACATTCCAATTCCTGGCCGGTCTGGCGGTAGCGCGCCTTTGGAAGTAGGTTTGTTCCTAATTGATCCCTTTTGCTCGCTGGTTGAAATTTGTTTGGTGCCAGATCGGAGGCGGGGCTCTGGGAGATATTTGGAACAAAGAGCAACGTGGGCAAGGCGAGCCCGATCTACATTGTGGCCTCTTTATTAGGGCCAGTTGTGGGTCTCTTGTGCGGCGCGTTCATCGCGGAAAGGACAACTTGGAGATGTGTGGTGAGGTTTTGAGCTGGTTGGATTTGTGGCCTTTACTTGAAAGGTATTCTCAAGTTCTGGGCGACGAGAGTGATCAATGTGATCGTTCAAGTCCTGGGGATCCTCTATCTTCAAGAATGTGGGTGTTCAAACCTCTTACTCGGCAAAGGAACTGATATATTTCCAGCCTCGCCCCGCCCGTCGCGGAACAGAACGGAAAAGAAATCCGGAAATCACTGGATGCCGAGAAACGTTCGGCAAGAAATGTGAAATTGAAATTTGTGAGCGAGGATAACCCGTGAACTCTGAATCCCTCGTGTGAACCACATACTCAGTATTTGCTCAGCACCTTCCACTCGGTGTTAATGTCGCGTTTGTGTACACTGTATGGGATCTTCTGTGGTGGGTGATGCATCGCCCTATGAATTCAATTCTCGACTCAAACACTAGTGTTCCTTGGATTGATCCCTCAGATGTTCCAAGGGACCTACGGCGAGAGCGCCAGTATCTCAGGCTTGCACTACCTTGCGTTGGAAACCGGGTTCTCTGGCGCCTCCCAAATAAATGCACGCTTCATGGACGGTCGGACCATACATTCAAGCACCTAATAAAGAAGAACGGCGGGGAAACGTGGCCTGAGTATCGTCTTCATGGGTATTTTTCTAGCGTTGGAATCATTATGGATGATGGTCGAAAAAGCTTCAGGGCTCCGGGCACGATAATGTTGCCATAGAGCTTCTCTTAATGGACTGGGAAGTCCAGGCGAAGGTGCACTGGATTGCGCCGGACATCGTGAGTGAATGTCTGCGGAGATGTTTTGTCCTACTGAGCACACATCTAGGTTCTTATCCACGTTGGGGCAGGCAACATTCTGAGCTTCCAGTCGGTCAACCTCTACGTGGCTCCAGGTACGTTTTATCATGCGCACGAATTCACAGAGATATCTAACTCTTTTCGGTTTCAATCTAGCTCTAGCACTGGCGGCGGTCTCATTCCTGAACTCGCTCTTCGGGTTCGCCTTTCCGCTATTCGCACAGCAGATGTTCCTGGGATATGGGAAAGGCGACACGATTGGCCGTGATTGCAATTGTCCCTGGGTGCCCCGCGTGAGTCCTCCTTGCCCTCATCATGCTTTATGCGGCGATTAGACTAGTGACTGTTGAATTCTGTCTATGAATGCTGTCGATAGTGTGGCGGTGACTACGACTTGCAGCCATAGCTATTCTGAAAATACGAAGAGCAACTTCGAACGAGAAGTAAATTTGGAAAGTGACCGACCGGGGAGACCGGTGGTCGCGTTAGAGATAAGTACATTGATGAATCATGAATGATACGAATCCATGAGAAACAAATGGAAGCATGTGGAGCGTTCAATATGAGCCTTTTTGGTATGATTAAGTTCGTAAATCCTCGTCAGATTTGGCGGACAGTGACAAAAGAGGTTTTTAATTGAGCCAATGTGGGACTCAGCTGGTTCCTAGCATCAGCTAGTCGATTTCTGGCAGAACCGGAGATTCCCGAATTTCGACTTGAAAATGTATTTCTGTACCTCTAGTTTCGAGTTGCATTTCAAAATTTGAACCGATTCTCGTACTTTCAGTCCCTCCGATATCCTAGATTAAGCAAGAGAATAAATTCACTGGCTGATACGTCGAAGCCCAAAGTATATATCGGATGAACTGTTCCTCAGCTGAAATCCAGAACTGAAACTATTTGTTTGCACACGAGTTGAATGAAATCAGAACTGGCCGCGGAAACTTCAATTTCCAGTTCTCATTTTGACATGATTTCAGCTTGAAGTCGACTGTAAGTTTTGCCTGCGGGTGGAGTGAAACAAGATCGGAAACTCGAGATAATGAATAACTTATCCTAGAGCATGTGTTTGATCAGCTCGGATTCGGCCCACCTCCAAAGCTCAAATGCAACTTGAACCTTTACGTGTCGAATTCCACGTTCAGTGAGCCAGCTATGGACAGTGGAAGGTTCGTTGAAGAATGCGAGCGCCGCAGACCCTGGGTGTTAAATGTGAGCCTTCCGAATGATCTCTAAAACGTATACCCGGTTCCGCGTGTTACTACGGGTAAAATGGGGTGATATATAGCCGCAAAACGCTGCAAAATTGACCACCGCAGGTCTCGAACCTGCAATCTCCTGATTCCGCGAAAGAATTCGTAGTCAGACGCGATGCCATTTCGCCAGGCGGCCATGGGAAGTGGCAGAGATTGAAGAGTACTGATGATCAGGCTCTGCTGGTCACCGAACAACGACGGGAGACTTGCAGTGCGTGCCAGGTACGTACCTCAGACAATTCCAAGGCTATGCTTCCAGGAGCCGTAGCACTAATATAAGCTTTGACGCGTACGCAAGACGGGCCGCTTGGGTCACGTGGCCGTGAAAGCGTAACTGTCACAGTGTGACTCTCTTGATCCCAACCACCATGAGTTCTGTCTGCGAGTCTTGGGTCGATCCGCCTGCCCTGAAAGGTGGAAAATCTCTTCCAACCAAACTCTGGCGTGAGAAAGACGTCATCCTGAGTCTTTTCACTCAACAATCACCCAATACTTGCTCGGCGGTTTCTCTCGGTTTGTGGAGCGAAGAAGGACACCTCTCTCCATCTTTTGCTGCGGTTCCTAGCCGATCTCCCCGTGCACAATAGGAGATATGCCCCAAGTTACTGGCGGCGACAAATTGCAAGTTTACGCAAAGGTCCTGGATTGTCGGGCTCTGATGGTCAATTTACACGTAGTTCTATTGTCCTGACCCCAACGATTCCCAAATTGTATTCTTCGTGGGCGCGCGCGTCTGGGTGTTTTTGCGCTTTACAGGCTATTTGCCGTGTCTGTGAACCCAGGTACGCGCTATTTCCCCTTCCGTACGATAGGCGTCACCGACTATCAATAACAGAAAAATCAAGTCCACTCAGATAGCCGGCCTTCCCCGGGGTATCATTCGTCAGCCCGACCACCCACGAATTCGTCACGGATCCCCGATAAATGGCAGCATACTAGTACGCCGACACGCTGAAACACATTGCGCCCACTGGACCAGGCCGCTCTCGTCGCGCCGAGGGCGTGGACCATCGCCGCTCTCAAGGCACGGCCGATATGTATATAAATCGTCGGGCTTCGTTCTGAGTCGCTAGTGCATTCACCAGAATCCAGTATGCATATATCTCGCGCAATTTCTACCCTCGTGTCCCTGTGGGTCGCTTCGAGTATGTTACGCGTTTTCCTCCCTTTCGTATGGCTGATAAATGCTCCTTTCTAGCGCACGCAGCCTGGGACTATGTCATTGTAGGCGGAGGTCCCGGCGGGATCATCGCTGCGGACCGCCTCTCTGAGGCGGGGAAAACGGTTCTGCTGCTTGAGCGTGGTGGGCCAAGTACTGCTGAAACCGGGGGCACTTACACACCATCGTGGGGAATTCCGACGAATGTGCGCAGGGCATCCCTACCTCGTTGATGTTGCTTATGCTCCCTTTGCATAAAGTTGACCAAATTCGACATTCCCGGCGCATTTGAGGTTCGCGATATTTTCTGGGAATGTTGAGGGGATTGCTGACCCAGCACGTTTAGACTTTCTGGGGTGATGCTAATCAAGTGAGCTGTATTGTCGCCTATTGCACAGGAGATCTAACCCCTCCTTCTCCCAGTACTGGTGGTGCAATGGTGAGCAAGCCGCGATCAATTCTAATCCTGGCGTCTGACCCTCACTCTCCAGACATCTCTGTGTGGGCTGGGTGCCTCATCGGTGGGGGCGGTAGCATCAACGCCGGGTAAGCGCCACTGATATCACCAAGAACTGACTGACGCCATTGCTTCTAGCCTATACTGGTATGCCGCCGACTCCGACTTTTCTCTTGCCGCGGGCTGGCCAGTGGGATGGCAAAATCACGCACCCTACACGGCAAAGGTCACTGCGCGCCTGCCCTCCACGAACCACCCTTCCACCGACGGCTTGCGGTACCTCGAGCAGTCCTCCACCGTGATGGGAGAGCTGCTCAACTCCCAGGGCTATACACAGAAGACTATCAATGATGACCCCAATGACAAGGAGCACGTCTACGGCTTCAGCTCCTACGACGTACGCACGCCTTGCTCCATCCTCCTCTCGTGTTCACACTGAGGCCGCCCTGACAGTATCTCGGCGGCAAACGCGCTGGACCAGTCGCGACTTACCTTCAGACCGCCCTCGCGCGTACCTCCCTCGTCACCTTCAAGCTTTACACGCCCGTCACCGCCGTCGTGCGCACGGGCGGTACCATCACCGGTGTGCAGACGAATGACACCTCGCTCGGTCCCAATGGCATCGCGGCGCTCAACCCCGGCGGGCGCGTCATCCTCTCCGCGGGGGTCTTTGGCACGTCGCGCATCTTGTACCAGAGTGGGATCGGGCCGACGGATATGCTGGAGGTGGTGCAGAATAGTGGGAATGCGGCGGCGAAGGCGCACCTCCCGCCGGCGACGCAGTGGATTAACCTGCCGGTCGGATACAATGTATGTCTTATCTCCCCGTCTATGAGGTCGATCTGACGAGACCCTCGCTCCAGGTCTCGGATAACCCTGGCGTTACTGTACGTCTATGTACCCTCGCTCGGTGACCTGCTGATGAAGCTTTTATGTAGCTGGTCTTCACCCACCCTTCCATGGACGCATACGACAGCTGGGCAGATGCATGGACCGACCCGCGCCCGGCGGACGCTGCCCAGTACCTGAAGAACCAGAGCGGTGTCTACGCCGACGCCAGCATCAAGTACGGGTCGTCATCTTCCTGGTATTTGCACACTGTTTGATCTCGCGTCACACTAGATTGAATTTCTGGCGCTCTTACGTCGGCACGGACTCGAAGACGCGCTTTGTGCGTAGTGCACGATACTCCTCACCTGTAGCACCCTTTCTGACAGTGACCTCGATAGATCCAAGGCACCGTGCGCCCCGGCGGAGTCTCGTACGCAATGACAAACTACCCATACAATGCCAGGTACCTACGCCTCTCACCATCACCGTGCCTCCGCTCTGACCCTCCTACCCGCAGCCAAGTCTTCGCGGTGACGATCTACCTGTACGCTCCCTTCGCAAGATGTGTCTGGTCGACTACTGACGTCCCACATTGCAGCTCGACAGGCCTCACCTCCCGTGGCCGCATCGGGGTCGATGCGAACCTCAACGGCGTCCCCATCGTGGAGCCCTACTTCACTGACCCCGTTGATGAGGCCACGCTGGTCACCGCTATAAACGATGTTATCGCCAGCGTCAAGAATGGTATGCACGCCAAATGCACTGCATGTACCTATGCATTTTGCTCACGCACCTGGCAGTCCCGGGGCTCACGATCATCACGCCCGACAACACCACCACCGTCGCCAACTTTGGTGTGTCCGACCTAGCCCTCTCCTGCTCCCCATGTTACTGACGATGCCGCTCTGCTAGTCGCCACGTATGCTGACGTAAGCAGTTTCCGAGTGCAAATACGCGATTTTTCATGATGACTGTCGCAGGGAAATCTGCTTTCAAATCACTGGGTTGGCGCAAACAAGGTAGGCACATCGCCTACGGCGGCTGTGGTGGACGTCAACGCGAAGGTCTTCAATACTACGAATTTGGTAAGTAAAGTCTCCGCCTCGTCCAAGCTCTTTACTGATTCAATTAGTTCGTTGTGGATGCCTCCATCATCCCCTCGCTGCCGTATGGGAACCCCACGGGTGTTATCATGTCTACGGCCGAGCAGGCTGTGGCCAAGATTTTGGCCCTGTAGTGTCGTACTCGTGATAAAAGAAGGGAAATACATCTTTAGTTTTTTAGACAGCTCCATCTACTCGGACGCGAATGGGATGGTGTCCGCTATGGCGGCCGGCCTCGATCGCGTCGTATATCGCTCCCTCCGGGGAAATCGGGCGATTGAAGGTTTCTGGATCGACTGGAATCCGCACATGAGTGGATGCGAGAGTCCGATCTGGGACCATTCGACATACCGCTGCCCAGGAGTTCCTCGAATTCCCCCAAGATCTCCACCCTGTCCCCTTCTTTCCACTGCAGATCCTCCTCCACATGGCGTCGTATCTCCCACAAGTCTTTGAGCATGCTGCTTTTAGCCCATGAACCTATCAGCATGTTGGATGATTCTGGGGAGCGTAGATCGATGGCTTTGACTGTTGTGAGCAGTGCTTGCAATACGGGTCGTGCCAAGGGGATGAAGCCCGCGGGCACGCGTGAACGGATCTTGGGGGTATGCAGAAGGGACAAGACGCATAGGCGCGCCAGCATTTCGTGCTCGGTGAATCCTTCCACCGCGAGGCATTTGTCCGCGAGTGCACAGACCAAGCGCGGAACCATATGATACTGGCGAGGGCCAAGGAGGTGTAGCCACTCGGAGCGCTGGATCGTCTCGATGTGCTCGTGCGCGGCGGAAATAATTTCTTTCGGCGGATGTGTGCGTATCAGCCAGGAGACCAAGCGGCCCCTGAGGTGGTGCTCGTCCCTGGGAAGATAGAGGAGGGATGCGAGGACGTTTCGGGGATTTATGTGGACGTTAGTTTGGGGCAGGAAGGGGGTGGAGAGCAAGGTATCCACAATGGAATCCTGCTCTCCTTCGTCCGCGTTCACCAACTCCTCCGTGACCTTTTCGTCAACGACTTCGAAAACAAACGCCAGTATTTCGGACAGTTCGCTTGGGGCCAAGTATTTCCATGACCAGTGCGCCGCCCCCAGAATTACGACGGCGGGAGGGTATGCGGTGATATTGGTCCCAGAATTGGCGGTGATGGCGATAGCGTGAATGAAATGGGAATCCCACAGCACCGATAGAGATGATCCAGGTTCCGATATTCTTCCTGCGCGCGAAAGGCTGGGGAGGAGCCGCCCCATATCATTTTGAGAGTATCGTAGCGAGCCTAACACCAAATTCAGTGGGCCGCCTATTATGTTAGAAGTATAATCGTACGTGCGCGTTCGTTCGAAGCGATATTGACGATCACCTGGGCTGCAGTGCGATGACTTCGTAAACTGGCCTCAGGTGAGAGCAAGTGTAACAGTGTCGTGCATTCCTGGGGCAGGAGATCGATGGGAAGGCGTCGGAAAAAGCGGGTCGGATTGAAGTACATGGTCCTTTGACCAATAACGTGGAAGAGCGCGGCGGAGGCGTCGTCTAAGATGTCGTCGTCTCGAGTCGCCTGCAAAACCTCGTGGTAAATTTCCATCGATTCTGCCG